TTTGTGCTAATACCATGCTGTTTTAATTATCACAGCTTTGTAATATATTTTGAGGTTAGAAAGTAAGATGCTTCCTACTTTATTCCCCTATATTGCTTTAGTGACACAAGGGCCTTTTATGATTCCAGACAAATTATATGGTTGTTTTTTTTCTATTTCTGTGAGGAATCTCTGGTAATTTGTTCAGAATTGCATTAAATTTGTAGATTAATTTGGGTAGAAGTGATTTCTTGTTTAGTGTTAATTCTTTTAATGTAGGAAAATGGGGTGTTTTCCCACTTTTTCAATATCATTTTTAATTTCTTTTTCAGTTTTTCTCATTTTCCTTGTAGAGGTCTTTCATTCTTCTGTGTAAGGTTATTCCTAGATATCTTATTGTTTTAATGGCTATTGTAAATGGGATTGCTTTCTTCAATTTTATCTTCGTTGGTTCATTGTGTGTGATTAAAAATGCTATAGATTTTTGTATCTTGATTTGATATACTGCCACTTTACTGTACTTGTTTATCACTTCCAGGAGATAGATTTATTTATTTATTTATTTATTTTCGTGTTGAATTATTTGGATTTTCTATGTGAAGAATCACATCATCTACAAATAAAGATAATTTCTCTTCCTCTTTTCCTATTTAAATGCTTTTTATTTATCTCTCCTGTCTGACTGCATTGGCTAGAACTTCCAGTACTTTGTTGAAAAGGAGTGGAGAAAGTGGGCAGCCTTCTCTTGTTCCAGTTTTCAATGGAAAACCTTTCAGCATTTCCTCATTCAATACGGTGCAGGAGGAAACAGTAAATAGAAAGCCCGAATAGACCCATAGCAATCAGTTAGATTGATTCAGTAGTAAGTAGTCTCCCAATAAAGAAAAGCCCAGGTCCCAGTGGGTTCACTTTTGAATTCTACAATCCATTTAAAGAAGAATTAACTCAATTCTTCTCAAACTATTTCTAGAGATCCAAAAGGAAGCAACCTTTCTAAGTTCATTCTAGGAAGCCTCCATCATCCTGATTCCAAAAACTGACAAGGACATTTAAAAAAGAAGATTACAGGCCATTATCCCTGATGAATACAGATGCAAAAATTTTCAACAAGATATTAGCAAATCACATCTAACAACACATTAAAGAGTTTATACACCATGACCATGTAGATTTATTCCAGGGATGGAAAGATGGTCAACATACACAAAACAATGAATATAATGCATCACATTAAAAGAAGAAAGATTAAAAACCATATAACCATATCAATTGATGAAGAAAAGCATTCAATAAGCTACAACATCTCTTCATGATTAAGAATCTCAGCAAAATTGGCATAGAAGGGACATTCCTCAACACAATAAAAGGCACCTATGACAAACTCTTAGCTCACATCAATAATGCTTTTATTTGAATTTCTGTTAAATCACTATACATTTGTCCACTTGCATTTGGTCCATTCAGCATATAAAACTATTCATGAATTAAAAAGTTAAAATACAATATATCTTTTCACCATATTCCTCAACATAATATTGACACTAAAATGGTACTACTGCATTATTCTGATTTTTGGATATAATCCTGAAATTATCCACGGTGCTATTCTCATGTGATTGGAGGGAATTGTCTTATCTAAGAACAGCTGTGCAAACTAAAACCGAAAGTGTTTTCAATCCAGTCTGAGAAGTGTAGCAGAGGAGCATCAGGGAGGCTCTTCTCAGGTGAGTGTTGCCTTCCCTGGGAACCTGAGCTCCCAATCTAAGAACCCATGAAATTTCAGTACCAGCCTCATCACAGGACCCCAGTCAGACCCATCACAAGAGGTTTCCACTTCTCTTTGTCTTCATTCCCAAGTTGTCTTTGTTATCTGGACATGGCCAAGCAGGCACTCTCTTGCCTCTGCCCTGATGGTATGTTTGTGCATCTAGCTCAGAATTTTTTCCTTAACATTTACCATTCTAGCCAGTTTGGCAAATACTTACTTTTAATATGATAAAGTATGTCTGTACAACTATCACAGTACAAAGCATCAACTAGATGCATAATAAATCCTGAAAATAAAATGCCTGAATTATTGAAGTGGAAAGAGTACATTTGAATCCAAATAAGTGTGTGTGTGTGTGTGTGTGTGTGTGTGTGTGTATGCACTTCTATAAGTAAAATGATGAGTTAGTATTATCTCAGTATTCAGCAGTCTCAAAATAATGATTTCCATAAAGTCAATAGAAATCCATGATCCTTTTTTCCTCATTTTTTGTTATTATTTTTAAAATTTTAACCATTCTAACTCTGTCATTCCTGCCATTATCGCAGTATTTTAACTTCTTGGATTTTTCTTGAAATAACTTGTGGGACTATGCAAATGGTGGGGAATGGAACACAGAATAATGTGATATGTGACAAAAAAGAGGTTTGTTTTTCCTCAAGTAATTGTGATAATGGTAAATAATTTAATATCTGCAATTACCAACGCTAAAAATTGGCTTGAGATGTATATTACTCACACATTCTTATACTTTTAAAATAATATTTGTTTATTTTTTTAACTTCTCAACTTCCCTTTCCCTAAAAGACAATGCAGAAACTAAAAAGTCAGTAATTGACAATGCAACTGTCTAAACAATAAAAGTAGAATTAAAAACAACAATTATTCAAGAAATAAAATAAGGAGATAGTTTTTGCATACCAAATTGGCAAAATCTTTTTGAAATGATAATGTCTAGGGTTGGCAAGGGTGTATATAGTAAAATAGTCATGTTTATCTATTACTCATGAAAGAGACCTTTTAGAATACACCATGGCTTTACAGTGCTATATCACTTGACACAATCGTATCTCTTCTAGAAATGTTAAAATTCTAAATATATAATCAAAGATATGGACAAGTATCTTTTCTCCATAAGTTTTTTTTTTTTTTTGAGAGTTATTTTTTTTTTTTTGAGAGGTTTTTGCTATAGGACGCATGCACTTGCCAGACAGACACAGAGAGACAGAAAGTGAGAAATCATCCCTCCCCTCCCACAGGGGGAATGGCCATGTCGCAATCCCTTCTCTTCCATTCTCCTCTCGGGATCTTGGTCATGCACGTGCACGTGCCCGGCGTGAGTTTAAGCCACTGGGTATGGGATTCGAACTGTGGTCGGCTACATGGGAGTCCAGCAACATAGCCATTATGCTAACTGCTGGTCCCAAGTTTTAGCATTATTTGTATTACTAGGAAGGCCAAAACAACCTAATTGCCAGAAAGTATAGTAATAGCTAAACCAGTGGTAGTACATATGAATGACATCATGCTGCCAATAAAAATTATGGGTTTGAAGAATATTTAGCACATGATTAAATGCTACTTGTACAATGTTTAGAGACTGAAAAGATCACCACAATATGTAAAGGACAAGAGCATGTATTAAAAAGCAAAAAAAAAAAATTCTAAAATATTACTATTAATAAAATGGTACCTGCCTGTAAAGAGTTTATACTTTTTGGTAGTTATATTTAGTTGATAGACATATTACTTATTTCTATTTAGCAATATGGAAATAAAACACAATATCCAAGGGATACATCAAAGCATAAAGCTTTCATCCAACTAATTATCTCTTTACAGTAAATATACTTCAAACTAAAGGTAGAAGAATGAGTAGTTTTCCAGATGGAGAATTAGTAGGAAGATATTCTTAGAAGAAACAGTACATGCAAAGTCATTGAGTTGTCTATATACACAATATTTAGTTCAGGAGCTAAATGTTCAATTAATGTTTGTTGAAAATGTTAATGAATTAATTATAAAGAAGTATGTTTTCTCTAAATATCCTTTGTCTTCTATATTTTAGTCACTAAAGGCCTATTACAATACAATGATATATTTCTGTCTTCATTTGAGCTGCAATAACACAGTATCTCAGATTGTGTAATTTATAAATAGTGGAACACAGTTCTGAATATTGGGAAGTTCAAGGTGCTAGCAGATTTGATGTCTTATGAAGGCTTGCTGTCTGCTTCATAGATGATGCCTCATACGGTGTCTTCACATGGTGGAAGGGGCAGGCCAACTCCCTTCAACCTCTTTAATAAGGGCACTGGTATCATCTGAATGTGTCACTTCAAATAACATGAAACTTAATAGGAACAGTTTATGATAATGAATAAGTATGTCATTTTACTGACCTTAACTTACCTTGTGTGAGTTAACCAAGTGTGTTATGTCCCTTTCTTTTATTAGAATTTGACAACTTGTCATTGCGTATGGTACGATATGGTGTACAAAGTCATATTACGATTTATAAATACTATGTAGATAAGATTTTCAAGCTAATTAACATATTCATCACTTGTAATGCTTAACTTTTATTGTCAAGAGAATCTTTTAAGTTTAGATTCTTAGAAATATTGAAATGTACAGTGCACTATTATGTTCAGCATATTTTTCAACAGATTGAAAAAAACAAAATGAACTTATTTCCCCTTTATAATTCAAACTTCCTATCTTTTGACCATCATCTCTTTGTTCCTCCAACACTATATTTGAAGTACTTTATAAACTTCAGTATTTAGAAAGTTCCACATGCTAATTTAGATTCTTCTTGATATTTTTAGGTGTGTGCTAGACTCTTGTAATGCCACTTACTAAAAAATCGGATTGCTAGTGTCAAATATTCAGATAAGGTTCAAAGAACAAAACAATAAAATAGCATATCTTTTTTTGCATGTCAGCAAATGAGAATTCATCTTTTCTTTCATCACTACCTACAAAGGACTCCAGCCTACTGCATTTAAGGTGCATCTGGATGAAGTTCAGCTGGATCTTCTGAGGAAATACAAAGATTTTTATGAGGAAAACGATGAACTCAGGCATAAAGAAATCTTGATGCTTGCTAATTTGATATTGGGTACACAAGATTTTATAAATGGAGTAAACTGTTGAATTTTAAAGATTTAAAAATACAGAACATTTTAGGTGACTGTATTAAGAAATCTTCAGCAGAAATATTAATCATTGAGGCATTCTCTTACAGACAATGGGCAGTATCACAGCGAGCACACTTACAATCATTTTAACAGTGGAATTCATGATTGGAAATCTAGGAAACGGGTTTATAGCACTGGTGAACAGCATTGATTGGGCCAAGGGAAGAAAGATCTCCTCAATTGACCAAATTCTCACTTTCTTGGCAATCTCCAGAATTGCTCTGCTCTGGCTAATGTTTATAAATTGGTGTGTGCTTATGTCTAATCCACTTTTACTTACCAGAGGCAAAATTCTAAACATGTTCTATGCTGGCTGGATAGTGACCAGTCACTTCAGCATCTGGCTTGCTACCTGTCTCAGCACTTTTTACTTCCTCAAGATTGCCAACTTTTCTAACTCTATTTTTCTCTACCTAAAGTGGAGAGTTAAAAAGGTGGTCTCAGTGTTAATGCTGGTGACTTTGATCCCCTTGTTTTGTAATATTGTCCTGGTAAACACATTTATTGATGCCTGGATTGACGGCTGTAAAAGAAACATGACTTGTATGAGTAACTCTGTACAATTTTTAAAGCGTCCTTTAATCACTAGCACTATGTTCACTTTCATACCTTTTGCTATGACACTGACAACCTTTTTCCTGCTCATCTTCTCTCTCTGCAAACATCTTAGGACAATGCAGCGTGATGCCCAAGGACCCAGAGATGCCAGCACCAAGGCCCACATTACAGTCCTGCAGTCCGTGATCACCTTCCTCCTGCTCTATGCCATTTTCTTTTTGTCTTATTTTATAGCAGTTTTGATCTCTGACTTGGTGAATGAAAATATGATTTTCATGTTTTTACAGGCTACTGCAATTGTTTTTCCTTCAGGACATTCCTATGTCCTGATTCTGGGGAACAATAAGTTAAGACAAGCCTCTGTCTTGTGTCTGTGGTGGCTGAAATGCAGGTGGAAAGACAATGACCCCTCAGGTTCATAGACAACTTACGGGATCATATTACATATTACAGAGAAAAATAGTCAGTAGTCACTCCATAAGTTGTTGTATTATATTTTCGTGCACCTTCAACGTTCTTTCATGGTGTGTAACTGTATTTGAATAAGAACCATCTAAACATTAAAACCTAGTAGAATATACACAGGTATGCATAATAACATCTTTATACAGAGTATATGAATATAGACTACATTACAGAATAAATATAAATATAAATATTGAGTGTTGTGCTAATCATAAACCTTTGATATTTTAAAATGTTAAATGTTTTACATATTTGACATCTATGCAAATGTATGTGATGCTTTTTATAATGTATGGTTATAAAGTTATAACTTCACAATTTTATATAAAGTATAAACCCTTTCTATAGAGTGTATGCCTAAAATTTTGAGTACAAAAAGAAGAAAATATAGGTTATTGAAATCACACATACCAAATCTCTTGTTTCAAATGTAAGACCCAACTTACAAATGTTTTCCAGACATTTCTAAGTGTCGTGAGGCTGCTTTATTTCAAGGGTCCAGAAAGCCAGCACCAAGGCCAACTTAAAGGTCATGCCCACTGTGATTGCCTTCCTCCTGCTCTGTGCCATATACCTGTATGCCTGTCTTCTCATTTAAGAATTCTTGAAATATACTCATCATTATTATTTCCATGTGATTTGTATTTCTTTTTCAAAAGAATTATGTATTTAATTTTATTTATTTTTATTACTTTTTCTTTTAATTTGTTACAGGGCACATGTGCTCACCAGAGAGTCAGAGAGAGAGAAGAAGAAAGAGAAAATGCATTGCCAGGTCTTGGACTCAAACCATGGTTGACCATGTGGTACTCCTGCACCTTAGCCACCTGTTGGTCCCTGAATTTTATTTTTAAACACATCGTATTTCCTTAGTTTTCATAAATGTATCATAATACATTCTGATTTTATGCACAAACCACCAAATCTTGGCTGATAATCTTTTCATTTTATACCAATCTATGTGATTGGTGATTTTATTACATTTTATTTCATCATTTACTATGTTTCGCTGGTGCATGAAAAACTACCAGATGGTCATGGGACAGAAATTGGGAGCAACTCATGAGTGACCAATGTGTAATTAGCATCAGTTTCAGTAACATATACATGTCGTTGGTTGTGTTATTGTTGCTTATATGAAAAAAAATTAATAAAATGGAGAAAGCATTTAAAATAAATTAAGTTCAAGAGCTGAGATAAAGAAGATCAGGACCTGCATTCGGCACGATGGATAAGGTGCTGGACTCCCACATGGGTGATCATGGTTCAAGTCCTAGGAGTGGTGACTTGACTATCACACCAGGTCATGCATGTACAGGCCCGAAATTTCAAGAGGTAACTGTAGAAGGGATTGCTGTGTGACCGTCCCTTCTGAGAGTGATTTCTCACTTTTCCTCTCTCTGTCTCTGTTTTTCTCTATCTAGTGAGTGCACACATCATATGGCAAAAAAAGAAAAAAAGAGAGAGAAATGGAATAATGATATGTTCCCTTGTTCATTGGTGTTAAATCTTCAATGTAATAGATTCCTATACATCTTTAGAAATGAAGACTCTGTACTGGTGACTTTCGTCCACCAAGAAATCTCTTCAAATTCAGACTGTATGTTTGGCATAGATTGTTTTTGTTTTTCTAAAGTAGTTCATCCAGTTCATTCATTCATTCATTCATTCATTTACTGAACAAATATACAGTGACCAACTTTTTATGCATCCTTTAGAGATACTATAAGAAATATGCTATGAATTAAAAAGTGGGCCTTTGTTATAAGCAGCCACTAAAGGAGGAAGTTATAATGTTTATGTGCCTGGTAGTCTGTATACTTCATAACTTCTCCATATAAACAAATGTGTAATACTGTCTTTCATGAAAAGAAACTGAGTTTCTGAGATGTTAAAAACCTTCATAGTGAGGGACCAGCAGATAGTGGAATAATTATGTTGCTGGGCTCCCACATGGTCAACTGTGGTTTGAGTCCTAGAGCCAGTGGCTTGAAAACTCACACCAGGTACTTGCTTGTGCATGCCCAAGATTCTGAGAGGAGAATGAAGAAGAAGAGATTGTGGCATGGCCATCCCCCTGGGGAGATGATTTCGTACCTTTTGTCTCTCTGTCTTTATGGTGGGCACAAAAATGTCTCTAAAAGAAGAAAAAAATAAACTTGATGGTGAGTCAAGAAACAAACATGGAGCTAGAATAACAACTCCTAGGACTGTGGGGGAATTTTTCACTCTTTTGGATTTGGGGCACATGGGGGCTTCCCTCAATATCCAGAGAAAACATCAGCTAGAAGAGGTATCTCATAGCCACACATAGAATCTTGTAGGAAAAGCACAAAAGATAATATACAATTTTTGGTGGACATATTAAGTGCTCTTTTTTCCCCTACAATATTTGGTAATTGATTAATCTGTATACAAAAAAACTAATCTATTTTCTTCGTTGAATTAGAAGCTAGTTGCCTTAATAAACTGTCACATGTGCTTTATTTTAAACTTATTCTTTTCTTCTACAGATAGAAATCAATATCCTCTGTCTATAATGATTGATAATATTATTTTAGTTCTCTTTTAAATTATTTACTTTTTATTTATTTTTAAAATTTTATTTATTTATTTATTTATTTATTTATTTTAGAGAGGGATTTTTGCTATAGGGTACATCTGCTTACCGGAGAGACAGAGAGAGAGAGAGATAGAGAGAGACAGACAGAAAATGAGAAATGAGAAATCACTCCTCCCCCAGTGCAATCCCTTTTCCACACTGCAATCCTTTTCCTTCATTTTCTTCTCAGGTTCTTGGGCATGCACACACATGCGCGTGGTATGAATTTGAAGATGCCGGGTCTAGGACTTTAACCACGGTCAGTTATGTAGAAGTCCAGCAACATAACCATTATACCATCTGCTGGTCCCAAATTATTTACTTTTTTGGTGTTGGCTGTATTTGAAAAGGCTCAGATAGTCAAAATGTTAACTATAATGATAACTAGTACTTTTGTTTGTTTGTCTGTTTGTTTTTAATTTTTGCTAAAGGGTACATAAGCTTGCCAGAGAGAGGAAGAGGGAGAGAAGGAGAAAGAGAAAACAGCCCTGATGGGGATTGTTACGTTCAATCCCTTCTCCTCCATTTCTCCTTTGCAATTCTGGACACGCATGTACAGTCCTCCAGTGTATTTCTCAAGCTGCCTGGTCTGGGACCCAAACGAGTCAATCCTGTAGTACCTAGCCACCTTTGTCATCATGCCACTGGAGGAACCAGTTTCATTGTTTTTAAATGAGGAGTTTTCTAGGGTTTCACCAATACACATAATACTGATTATAGCTTCATATAAATAATTCTAAAAAATAATCTTCAGATAGAATCTTTCTCTTCATATCACTCTGCCTGTAGTACTCTAGTGAAAGCTGTATTAAAAGGTAGGCCCAGCTGTACCACTGCAGGGTGCCACTGTGCAATATCTCAACAATATGGGCGCTCTAGTTCAGATCCCAGGCTGACCTATGATGCCTGTGATCCTACCTGGCTGCAAGGCTCTGGAGTGGATCATGAAATGGTGAGACCCTGTCAAGGGCATTTCTCTCTCTCTGTTTCTTCATGAAAATAATAAATAAATGAACTTTTAAGAAAGTATCAAATATGTTTTATTTATTAAAGCAAACACGTATTTCCTACTTCCCCCTTTTATTTCTAATTTCCTATAGAGTATATGTGTATGTCAGTGAAAGACAGAGAAAGTGAGGGAAAATGAGACAACACTCCCAGGGGATTTGGCCAAGCTACAGTCCCTTCTCCTCCACTTGTCTCTTGAGGTTTTTGGTTATGCACACACACTTGCCCAGTGTTTCTTGAACCAAAGGGTCTGGGATACCACACACATAGTTGACCATGTGGAATCCAGCTTCCTTAACCACTGTGTCCCCTGCCTGACCCCACCTCTTTTCTGAACAGTTAGAAACAATTATACATGTTAGCAGTGACACCTAAAGCAATGGTATAGTCTATATATCTCAGACTTAATTGTCATAAATACGCTTAGATTTATATTATAGTAAAGTAGCAACCATCAAAAATTGAAATTCAGGGAACCAGCAGTTAGCATAATGGCTATGTCGCTGGACTCCCACTTAGTTGACTGTGGTTCGTGTCCCAGACCCAGTGACTTAAAACTCACGCCGGGCGCGTGTGCGTGCGTGCCCAAGATCCCAAGAGGAGAATGGAGGAGAAGGGATTGTGGCATGACCATGCCCCCTGGGGGGTGATTTCTCACTTTCTGTCTCTATGTCTCTGTCTGTCTGGCGAGCGCATGCGCCCTATAGAGAAAAAAACCTCTCCCCCCAAAAATAAAATTGAAATTCATACAGTAACTACTAAGTAATAAGAGGTCATTTACAATAAGGACAAATTTTTAATTCAAATAGCATGAGAAATCTTATACAAAAAATATATGCTAGAACAAACTGATTACTCTGATTTGATCATTACATATTGCATACTTATATAGAAAAATTCCACCATATTCCATAAGAATATACTACTTAATAGGGGCCATTAGAAACCTATTACAAAACTATTACATGTTAAAAGAAAATTGATTCATGTTTCAAAAGGGCACAAAATGTAAGGATAATTCTGAAATCTTGGATAAAATATATAGTGGAAACTTAGTGGAGATGAATTTAAATAATAATTTTGGAAAGATAGAGGAACAACAGGGAAATAAAGGCCATGGCCTGAGCTGATCGTCAGGGACCCCTGTCCAGCCTGCAGAGGGAGGTGTGCCTGCTCAGACACTGAAGGACCACCACCTGATTCTTGCAGTCCTAGAGATAGAAGGAGCAG